GGGGGGGTGAGGCAAGAGAATCGCTTAAGCCCAGGAGTTTGAGGTTGCTGTGAGCTATGATGCCATAGTACTCTACTAGGGCTACAAAGTGAAACTCTATCTCAAATAAATGAATGAAGCAAGTCTCTGTTAAGACAATCCTTGTGTATCTCTTGAGATGCCTCTGGGAGTAAGGGGGTCTCCAGGATGCTCTCGGATCTGTCTTGCTCCTTTGGCTTGGTGCTTAAACCAAGATGCATGCCAGGTCCTGCCCCTAGCCCAGCATAATCTCTTGGCAGTGATTGCCAGACACCCCCACGCCCTAGCATCTACTTAGCCCCTACTCACTCTCTGCTGGCTTTAGCCCAGCTTTTCCCTCAATTATGACATCTCTACTGCAACCCTTGTCCCGGCCTGCTCCCTCCTCATCCCCAGCCCTACCTGAGGTTCATGTCCCCTTTCATGGCCAGACTGAAGACGTTGGACAGGTTTCCCCCAGGTGAGCAGCCGCAGACCAGGATAGCCAGTGCCTCGATTTTGGTCAGTCGGAAGACCTTGCCCAGGGCAAAGGCAGTGAGGGGCATGATGCCGTACTGTGCCACCAGAGCGATGGCCAGCCCTTTAGGCTTCCAGAGGTGTGCCTTGATCTTGCTGAACTCCATGGTGCAGCCCAGCGAGAGCATCATGATGAGCAGCATGAGCACCAGGATGATGCTGAGGGCCAGGTCGGTGGGGCGTTTGCCGAAGTTGGGTGGCAGGGTGAAGTTGAGGGCGGCAGACAAGTTGTGGGCCTCCATCCTTCTGCAAGGCTTTGGAAAACCAACTTTTGTTCTCTGGCTGACTCTGCTTCTTGTCCAGTTCTTGCTGGGTGCCTTCTCCGGTCACAGAGTTACTGGACAAAATGCAGCTCTGGGCAAATAGAAAGATTATGCAACTAACTGAGCTGTTTCTCTGGTTGTGGCTCCAAAGGGGGCAGCCCCTTATCTGCCTGGCTTTCCCTACCTGTCCCAAACTCCCTGACCTCTGCTGCCTTCCTGGGTGCCATTCACACTGGGATAAGAGGGCTTATTTCTCTCCTTTGCCCTCTACTTAGCATGCCTGACAGGCATTCTGTTCCTGGGAGTCAGTCCAGGACAGCCCATCTCCTTCCCTGCAGCTCCTGGACCTGATGCCTTAATTTTTCTCTGTTGAGGGAAGGTGTGTCCCCATACTCAGTGGGTTATCGTTTGTCCCCAGAACCCATGAGAGTGAAAGGAGCTGAGTGTTGCTTTTGGTTCTTAGACATCAGCAGCACAGCCCAAGGTCTTGTGGGACAGGGTAGGAGCAGGTGGTGTTGCTGGCCTGTGGGAGGGGATGTGTCCATGACCCTTCTCCTGGGAGATGAGAGGATGCCAGCGTCCTTTTTGCCTGTGCTGCAGAAATCCTTGTCTTATCCCCAAACCTGGACTATGTGGGGAGGAACACTCCACACTTCCAGGAATGCTTACCTCCAGACAGAAGAACCTGTGGGGATGGCAGATCTCAGGAACCTTGGAGGCTCTTTCCCTGAAGGGTGGTTCTGAGGAACCCTGGCTGTGGGGTTTAGTTTATGCCCAAGGAGCCCATCACTTGGGAAACTTGCTGAGAAGGAAGCAGGAATGCACCATCTTTTCTTTCTGATTTCCTGACTGCTCTACTTTTGCTGCTGCAGAGAGAGGCAGTGCCAGGGGCAGGGCTATCTAGTATGCAGGTCATTTTGAGCCTGGCTTCTTCCATCCCAGCTGCAATGATTGCTTGTTGGCTGGATTGGAATTCATGAAGCCTGGAGATTAGGCTTTGTCTGTAGGACTTCGAAGGGCAGAACAGGAGCCAGGATGTGAACCACTATTGGATAGGGGTGAAAATAAATTTTATTTTGGTGCTAGGAGCTTCCAATAGTGGACTGAGAGGCCTCTGGAATCCTGCATGGATAAGGGTTGCATGACAGGGTAGATGAAGGGCTGGGCTCAAAGGAGGCTGCTTTCTCATCTTGGAGTTTGTCAGAAAAGGGTCCCCTGACATGGTTCTTAGAGGTGGATTATTGATCACTAACAGAGTACCAGATACTTCGGAAGGTAATAAGCTACATAATCCACGTTCCTGCCCTCAGGGACCTTATGATCTATATCAGACCACAGGAGACCAAAGGGCACACAATGCAAAACAGAAGCATATGAAGGTGGAGGCCATGCAGGGCTCCCATGTATAATCGGGCAGGTTGTACACTGCACAATGCTGGAGACACTATTCACACAGACATCCTGTGCAACCATGCTTGGGGCTCTGAAGTCAAAGGAAGACATTAAGTTTTTACACATCTTTCTGATGCCCAAAGGGATGAGGAATAATTGATCAGTATCTGTTAAAGATCAGGTCCTGGGAATGTGTCTGTTGATCACATCATGCACATAGAGTAGAGGTCCCATGAACACACCTCTAAACTGGATTTCAAGCCATTTATTCTCTACTAACTCTCCCTCTTCCCCTCTTCTCAGAAACCCAAAGTTTTCCTACCTCCTTCTGTGAATTTTTCCCTTTGAGAAAACATACCTTCTTTTACTGGCCATCCCTCCTGCCCTGTCTTTGCAGAGAATAGAAAATCTCTTCTAAGACGCTGACAACTTTCATCCTTTTCTTCATATCTTCTCTCTTTCTCTCTCTCTCTTTTTTTTTTTTTTTTTGCAGTTTTTTTGGCCAGGGCTGGGCTTGAACCCGCCACCTCTGGCATATGGGGCCAGCGTCCTACTCCTTTGCCCCAGGCACTGCCCTTCATATCTTCTCTGTACCTTCTCTGCTTCCATGAAATTATGGGGATAGGAGGTTCTTTTGCATCATGTTAATGACAGCTGGGAGTTGTTGAACACAAGCTGTGTTACAGACACGGTGGCTTAAACTACATTTCTTATTTAGTCCTCACAATAGGGACTATGACTAGCCTTATTTTATAGGTTAGGAAATCAAGCTTACAGAAAAACAAGCTGTCAATTCAACTAGGTGGTAGGTGGGAGAACTGTTATTCCACCCTGCCTGGCTCCATGCACCTGACTGTTATGCTGTCCCGCTTTGCTGAGTTCCTTGATTTGCCTCACTCTATCTCCCTGCTTTTTGAGACCTGGAAGCTTTGACTGGAAAAGCCCCTGTGATTACATATTTTTTCCTAACTGGCCTAGACTGATTTTTTCACAGACTGGATGCACCAAGCAACATAACACCCAAACAATTAATGGAGGTAGTGGTAGCTAAGTGAATCTACTTATGGGGCATTTTAACTTCAGCTTTCAGCAAAAGTGGGCTACTTTTTCAGATTATGAGGGACATAAAAAACCTTCAGTCAGCCATTGCCCTTGACCCCAAAATTCTAATTATAGAAAATGATCCTATAGTAATCGTTTTGAGTGCAAAAGGGATCTACACAGAGGTATTTTCACCGCAGCACAACTCGTACCAGTGAAATATTGGAAATTTGCTTAAAGTCTGTTAATAGGCGATTGGTCATGGCCCATTTGAAAGAACGCAGCCACTAAAAACTGTAGTATGAAAGTGGCTGTAGGAACCTGCATTTTCCCCTTCTTTTCCCAGAAAAGTAGCAAGAACAATAGGGGAAAATCTCACAATTTTTTTTTGGTAAAACTAGGGAACAAATATAATTTGCAGATTCCAGAATACCATGAAAAGGCTGCCCAAGGGCTGCTCTCCAGCAGCCTCACCAGGGAGAAAGGGGGAAAAGAGGAGGATGATGGAGAGTGGCCGGAGGGCTCAGCAGTGCCTGTGTGAGGAAGCTCCAGGAATACACACAGCTTCGGGGGAAGGATGTGACCTCAAGTGTGTAATCACCATTATGGGAGCCAGGGTGAGCAGGATGGAGGGCAGAAGCCATAGTACACCCCGCTCAGGTTCATGCAGTTAGCAGTGGGCATGTCAGTTACATGTGATGCTGTGTAACAAGCCACCCCCCAACTTGGTGACTTCAAACACCAATTTTTTTTTTTTTTTTTCAGACAGAGTCTCATTTTGTCACCCTTGGTAGAATGCTATGGCATCACAGCTCTCAGCAACCTCAAACTCTTGGGCTTAAGCAATTCTCTTGCCTCAGCCTCCCAAGCAGCTGGGACTATAGGTGTCTACCACAATGACCAGCATTTTTTTTACAGATGAGTTTTCACTCTGGCTCTGGCTCAGGCTGGTCTCAAACCTGTGAGTTCAGGCAATCCACCAGCCTCAGCCTCCCAGAGTGATGGGATTACAGGCCTGAGCCACCATGCCCAGCCTCAAACACCAATTATATTTATATAGGGGGTGAAAAAAAATCAGTTTATTGTTATCTTTCACAGTCCTTAGTTTCAGCTGTGGCTTTTGCTTGCAGTTCCTCATGTGCTTGCTGTCTGATGATGGCTGAAGATGAGTCATCGGAAGCCTTCTTCACTCATGTCTGGAGCCTGGTTTGTCAGGCTTTTCTCTCTCTCTCCACATGGTCAACTTTGGTTTCTTCAGAGTGTCATGGTCTCAGCATAGTCAGACTTCCTACAGCAATTGTTAAGCTGATGTCCCCCATGCAATTGCTCCAAGTGGCCAGAGTTACGGCTGCCAGGCATCTTATGACCCAGTATGGAAACCACAGGATGTCACTTTTAGTAGCTTCTGTTTGTCAAGCAAGTTACTAAGAAAATACCAGATTTGAGGGAAGGGAAGAGTAGACTCCCCTTGTAAATGGGAGGAGTAGCAAAGAATTTGCAGCCATCGTTAATTCTCCACCTGGACGAGCAGTAGTTGTATGAAGCAACCTGTGGCTGCGGCTATTGTGGTGGGAAAACCCAGCTATTCTGGAAGGCGACCCTGGCCCCTCTGCAGAGCCTCATACAAATAAATTGCCTGTTAAATGACGAGTGATACACAACATCAAATTAAATTCACTATAAGGTAAAGGAGGAAAAGAGTGGCAAAACTTTCCAACAATTGAACCCTCACCAGAAAAACATTGCCACAAGTAGATGAAAACTGTCCAAGCCTTATGCAATTAAATTTTAAAAAGTGAAGGTGGTAATTGTTTAACAACAATTAAAGAAAAAAAATCAACATTCTGCAAACTCTAATGTAATAATTGATTCAAGTAAAAATCATCAATAGAGGCTAAAATTCTCAGCTAAAAGTCTGTTAGGGAATAGGATATTCATATAGTAATAAAGATCACCACAGGATGAATTAGTAATTTTAGACAGAAGATATATATCTTTACACTGGGGAAAGCTGGCAGTTACCCACTTTAACCAAGTGATCAAATTTGGAATTACTAATATCAATAGCCTAAAATCACACGCCTCCAGGGAATGGGATATGAAATGCACAACATTGTCATAGACAAAATGGTTAATCTAAATCTACTCAAACCTTTAGATGCAGCTATCAAAACAAATATAAGTGCTAGAAAAACAAATGAAATATAAAGAAACAATCTGATAGATCTAGACCATGGGACGTTTTACAAAATAACTGGCTTTTTTTTTTTCCACGTATAGAGCATTTTTTCATAGGGAAGCCATAAGCTTCGTGCCCCTTTGTTACAATGACCCGGGCTTCCTGTTGGGTGTGTTGTAAACAGAGGAGCCATCCTTCAGGCTTCTGAGCGTATCCCAACATGTGGTCTTAAAGAAGTTAGCTGTCTAATGAAAGTTGGGGACCTATTCCAGATTAAAAAAGAATGAAAAGATATAACAACAAAATGCAATGTATGATTGGATCCTGGATTGAAAAAATGTCCAAAAAAATGTTTTGGAAGTAATTAGGGGAAATTTGAATATAGATTATATATTAGATGATATTATGAAATTATTTTTAAATTAGTATTATGGTTGCTATGGTCTGAATGTGTCCCTCAACATTCATATGTCGAAACCTAATCACCAGTGTGATGGGAAACGGGGTCTTTAAGAGGCAGAGCTCATGTTTGGAATTTGTGGCTTTAGAAAAGAAGCTGCATGGAGCTGGCTTGCCCCTTCTACCACGGAAGGACACAGCAAGAAGGCACCATCTGTGAACCAGAAAGAGTACCCACGTCAGACAACGAATCCACAGAGGCTGTGGTCTGGCCCTTCCCAGCCCCCGGAACTCTGAGAAATGCATTTCTGTTGTTTACAAGCCACCCTGTCTATGGCAATTTGTTACAGCAGCCCCAGATGGACTAAGACAGGGGTTATATAGTAGAACGTCCTTATTTTAAGAAATGCAGGCAGAAGGTTTTATGGATAAAGCTCCTGATGTCTGCAGTCTATTTTTAAATGGTTTGGAAATGTCTCAGATGGTTGAGTATGTAGAGACAGCAAAAGCAGATTTGGCAAAATGATAACATCAGTGAATCCATATGAAGGGCATCTGTGTATGCTCATTGTATTATTTTTCCAACATGTCTGTAGGTTTGCAATTTTTCAAAATAAAAAGTCAAAGAGAAAAAGAACACAGGGAAGAGGTGGATTATAAAGGGAGATAAAGCAAGGGCTGGCGGAACCCAGGAAGAATAAAGTATCAGAGAAATAAAGATGAAATGCATGGAATACAAATAATAGACAATTTAAAAAACCATAGTTAAGGACGTGGGGGGAGAAATGAGAAAGCCAAAGAAAGTAGAATGGAAATAAAGAGTTCAAAACAAGAGCTCAAGAAAAAATAATAGGTATAGAAAGAAGATTCAATGTATACATAATTGAAGCCTCCAAAGAAGAAAACCAAAAGAATGGAATGTAATTTTGTGGCATAGTGCCCATCACTCAGTGGTTAGGGCACCTGCTACATACACTGGGGCTGGCAGGTTTGAACCCGGCCCAGGCCTGCTAAACAACAATGACAACTACAACCAAAAAATAGTCGGGCGTTGTGGCAGGTGCCTGTAGTCCCAGTTTCAGGGAGCCTGAGGCAAGAGTTTGAGGTTGCTGTGAGCTGTGATGCTACAGCACTCTACAGAGGGCAACAAAGTGAGACTCTGTCTAAAAAAGTGACATTCTGAAATAAAGAAGACATTAATTTATGTCATATAACAGGGTAAATAATGTGAGAGAGTCAATATAGAAATATATTCTAGTAAAGTTATTAAATGTCAAAGATAATCAAGCAAAATGCTTAAGTCATTGAGAGGAGAGAAAAATAGCACTGATTTCAGAATTTTGTACAGCAACATTCAGCATCAGAAGAAGGTGGTGCAATACTGAAGAGATCTTCAGGGGGGACAAAGTGTTAGCTAAGGAATTTATACCCAGCTGTATTATCCCTCAACTATAAAGACTGAGATAGTTGTAGTCACAGATGATTTCAGGAAATACTGACATTATGCACCTTTCCTGAGGAGAATGAATGTTAGCTAACTAAGATATAATTGAAGAAATAACAGAGAAAAGACTGGAAACAAGCTTTGAATATATGTAACATAGATTTAAAAAAGCTAACGTAATTCTACACATTAGTGTGATTGAAAGGACGTAAACTTTATTTATTTTTAATATTTATTAACTTATTTTGAGACATGGTCTCACTCTGTTGCCTTGGGGAGAGTGCCATGATGTCCTAGCTCACAGCAACCTCAAATTCTCAGATGATCCCCTTGCTTCAACCTCTCAAGTAGTTGGGACTATAGGCATCCACCACAATGCCCAGCTAGTTTTTCTATTTTTGGTAGAGATAGGGTTTCAGTCTTGCTCAGGCTGGTCTCAAACTCCTGAGTTCAGATGATCCACCCACCTCAGCCTCTGAGAGTTTTAGGATTACAGGTGTGAGCCACCATGTCCAGCCAGGATAAAACAGTTCCAATTATCTCTGTACAAAATAGCAAAGCACAACATTCATAAAGGTAAAGGTATGGCAGATACGGTGGTAAAAATAGAAAAGCAAATAAATAGTCGAGACTTGAATTTACTTCTCTTGATCAATAGGTCAACTGGAAAAAAATAAGTTGGGTTATAGAAGACATAAGTATTGTATTTAGAGGAGATACAAGTTCACAATCTCTTTTCCGAAACCCTCCATAATTTTTCAGTTTGGATACAGTACCTATATGGTACCTATACTGTATATTTTTATATAACGGGTATTTCTGCAGTGAATCGCGACAGGTTAAGTAAAAATTACAGTTTCACGTCAGTTTAGAATAGGGTTTGCTGTCAGAGGGGTTGCAAAAAGACTTTGAGATTTCAGAATATTTTAGATTTAGGCATTGCAGAGTTGGAGAAGTGACTCTGTATTTGGTTCCCCATACAAGAAAACTTTTAACCTGTAACTGAAAAAGGAATGAACTTCCTTGGAAGTGCCTGTCACTGGGGCTGGGAACAGTGGGAGAGGTTCAAGCAGAGATGACTTTTTCAGGGGACTCACATATTAAGTGGGGAGCTGGTCCAGGGGACTACCAAGTTAGAAGATTTCCTAACCTGAGATTCTAGGGTGAGGGTAGCTGGGGGAAGGGTGGTTCCGAGGAGGGGATGCACAGAAGTGGTTCATACAATCCCATGTCTGTGCTACATCTGTTGACATTAAAGCAAAATGGAGCCTACCCAGTGTTCTGACATGCAGTTTGGAAATGTGTACACAATCCACTAACTCAGGGAAGAGAGTCAGTAAGGAGCTTTTTATAAACCCTTAGCGGATTGAGCTAAAAAAGTATAAAATGTGCTGAAAGAGAGGGTAGCAAGTAGGGCTTTGAAAGAGCAGCTCCCAGTGTTTCCTGTGGCTGGAGGCAGCAGTACCACTCGGAGAGTACTTCTGAACTCTCTCTGTTCCACAAAGCACATCTGTAAATGTCTGGATTTAATGCTGTATAGCTGGCAGCCACAGCAGGGTCAGATGGTCACTGTGATCCTGATGATGGAGAACTTGGCCCATTACTCAGAGCCGATAGACCAGGGGGATGCTGGGGACGGGAGGCAGTGACGAGAGGGGGGCAGCTGTCAGGCCATGACTGGCTGATTTGATGATTATGAGCTGGAACTAGAGGGCAGGGAAGAGCGTCCGTTGCAGCTGGTCACTGTTACCTGCCCTGGGTCGATGCTGTTTCTGGTGCACCAGGTTTCCTGACCCTCATTAAGTTACTCTATCTATTCCTTTTAAAAACTTTATCAGTTACCCTCATGGAATCACTCAAGTTGTGATTTTTGCCACTTTCTCTGGTTCTTACACCACTCAGCCTGGAAAGTGGTGAGGCTGGTGGAGCAGAAGGAAGCTTCACTCTGAAATATTTCTTAACCTCTTGTAATTTTTTTTCCCCTAAGGCAGAGTCTGACTCTGTTGCCCAGGCTAGAGTGCTGTGGTGTCAGCCTAGCTCACAGCAACCTCAAACTCTGGGTTCAAGCAATCCTCCCGCCTCAGCCTCCCATGTAGCTGGGACTACAGCCAGACTATCATATCTGGCTGATTTTTCTATTTTAGGTAGAGATAGGGTCTCACTCTTGTTCAGGCTGGTCTGGAATTCCTGAGCTCGAGTGATCCTTCTACCTTGGCCTCCTAAAGTGTTAGGATTGTAGGCATAAGCCATCATGCCTGGTCATAATTTTTTTTTTTAATTTCTTCTTTTAGATTTGTTTGTTTCATTATGTCACCCTCGGTAGAGTGCTGTGGTGTCACAGCTCACAGCAACCTTAAATTCTTGGGCTTGAGTGATTCTCTTGCCTCAGCCTCCCAAGTAGCTGGGACTGCAGGTGCCTACCACAACACCTGGCTATTTTTTTGTTGTTGTTGTCATTGTTGTTTAGCAGGCTGGGGCTGGGTTTGAACCCACCAGCCTGGGTGCATATGGCTGGCACCTTAACCGCTAAGCTATGGGCGCTGAGCCTAATTTCTTCTTTTAGAGACAGGGTCTTGCTTGGTCACCCAGGCTAAAGTGAACTGGTCTCATCACAGCTCACTGCGGCCTTGAACTCTTGGATTCAAGGGATCCTCCTGCCTCAGCCTCCCAAGAAACTAGGACTATACAGGTACATGCAACCATGCCCGTCCCCGTGTTAATTTAAGCAAACATTTAGTGGCCAGAAGGGAGCAAAGTGCATGAGAAGGCAGAGAGCAGCAGGATTCACAGGGTCCGAAGTCCTTTACAACATTGATTTCTTTTCAGAATAAACAAAATGACACGTTACGAGGGCTCATTTTTCAGGAAGCAGAAAATAAAGATAAGCACAAAGAAGAAAACAAAGATCTCGCCACCCAGAAATAAGTGCTGTTGATGTTTTTGTCAGGTGGTTTCCAGCCTAGAGGTCCCAGGATTCTGTGGAGATGCTTCTTTTCTTTCTCCCCCAAGTTCAAAATATTTATTGGAAAAGATATAAACCATCAGCCCCAAAGAAAGCCACATGACAATACTTTATATTTGAAATGTATTTTTACCTGATTAACAAAATTAACCTGTGCTTATAGTTCGTTAAGTGACCCATATTTTTCTGCTACACCTTTGTATTATATGGCTAAGCAGAGAATCCTTAGCCCTGCTTGTGAGCACACAGGAATTTCCTACGGATGCGTTTGTGTTCACAGGTTTATTTGACTTGCCCAGAACTAAATTGGGGGACTGGAAATGCCTGAGTTCATCACAGGATGGATACTCAGGAAGCTTTGATCATCATTGTTTTTTTCTGATCATCATTAATTCCATCTTTAGGAGCAAAA